CTGCCTATCTCGCCCGTTCACTCTTTTCATCGATTTACGAAAATATTTAACGTTATCCTAATTTGCTGTTAAAAATAACACCATCTATATTTATAGCACTAGTAAGAATACGTTTTTTCCCGCCAGTTCAAGGAAAGGTGAAATCAGGACTAGCAGAGCCATCTATGGACAGAGATATTTCACAAAAATATAAAAAATGAGTCCTGTATTCTCCCCATTTTTTGTTCATTTTCCCCGGCGGCAATGGGTTAAATTACATGCACTATTATTATCTCAATCCAGATCATATTCGTCGATAAATTCGTGCTAATCTCTATATTCACGATTGTATATGATACGCATTAACGAATCATATACAAAAAACACAAATAAATGAATAAATGAAAAAGACAAGACATGAAACACCTAACACTGGATGATTAGTAACGGTATTCAGAATTCTGATTTAGGATCACAATCAGATTAGAATCAAGAAATTCTAAGGACTAGTGGCTGTAAATGCGCTTAATAAAACGTTACAATAGAGTATAACAGATCATACCGCATTTTCAAATATCAAATCAACCGCTGCATTTAAACTACACACGCCAACGACCCCTTTTCACATGCCAACGAACCACAATTACCCTAACACTTCCTCTCACACTATAAAGACATTTCACACGCCAAAAACTTCACATCAAACCCTAACGACCACTCACGCCACCCCTCCCCCCACCCTAACGACCTCTCAAATTCTAACAACCTCTCACATTCCAAAAAAAAAATCACATCAAACACTAACGACCACTCACGCCACAACCACTCACACCCTAACGACCTCTCACACTCTAACGAAATTTCACACGCCAAAAACTTCATATCAAACCCTAACGACCACTCACACCCCAACCATTGGCACCCTAACGACCCCTCACACGCCAAAGACTTCACATCAAACCCTAACGACCACTCACGCCCCAACTTCTCGCACCCTAACGACCTCCTCTTACTCCCCAACGACCACTCACGCCCCAACCTCACGCACCCTAACGACCTCTCAAATTCTGACATCTCACACGCCCAAAACTTTACATCAAACCCTAACGACCACTCACGCCCCAACGACCACTCCCGACCCGCAGGTACTTGGGCTCGGACGACCACTACGGCGAGCGTGCGCACCAGCACCAGTGGGAGGACGGCTCTCGCTCCCTCGACAATTACAAGCGCCGAATGATGGCCGCCTTTGAGCTCTTCCACAAGCTCAATGTCAAATATTACTCGGTGGGTTTTTTTCCTGTCTTGGAATTATCTTAATTAAATTAATATATTTTGCCTTGTCTGCTTTTCCTACTATTCATTCTCCTTCGGCTATTAGCGTTTTTTTAATCTTTGGCTACCCGAACTGTATGTCTTCTCCAATTACTATTTTTGTCTGCCTCTTTATTGCTCTCTTTTCTCGTCTCTCTCTCTCTCTCTCTCTCTTTCTTTCTCTTTCTCTCTCTCTCTCTCACTTTCCGTCTCTCTCTCTCACTTTCCGCCTCTCTCTCTCTCTCTCTCTGTCTCTCCGTCTCTCTGTCTCTGTCTCGGTCTCTCTCTCTCTCACCCTCTCACTCATTCTCTTCTCTCTCTCTCTCTCTCTCACTTTCCGTCTCTCTTTCTCTCTCTCTCTCTCTCTCACTTTCCGTCTCTCTCTCTCTCTCTGTCTCTCCGTCTCTCTCTCTGTCTCTCTCTCTCTCTTTCTCCGTCCTCTCTCTCTTCCGCATCACGTTGAGGGCGGAAAGGAAATGGCCAACCTACCGCATCTTTCCCCATGAGCCTAAAATGCGTCTTCCTCTTCGAATATGTCATGACTCTTTAGGGAGATGAACTATCTGTAACGCGATAATCTATCAAACAGCCCCCCCCTCTCTCTCTCTCTCTCTCTCTCTCTCTCTCTCTCTCTCTCTCTCTCTCTCTCTCTCTCTCTCTCTCTCTCTCTCTGCCTGTCTACTTATTTATCAGTCTGTTTTATCTCCTATCTCTTTATCTCCCTCCCCCTAATATCACTTCGTAGTAGTAGTAGTAGTAGTAATAGTAGCAGTGGTAGGAACAGTATTAATTGAAATTGTATTAGCAATAGCAGTAGAGTAATGAGAGTAATAACAGTGAGGATGATGATGATATATATTTTAGACGTGTAAATTAATATTGCCAAATGACAAACACCCTATAGTGATGCCCGTCGACGCCTCTAACCCCGGCCGCTTCCCGCAGGTGAGCGACCGCGACATGGCACCGGAAGGCGACAGCTTCGACGAGACCAACCGCTACCTGGACGAGATGGTGACCCTCGCATGCGACCTGCAGAGGCAGATCGGTGTCCGTCCAATGTACTTCGCCGCTGACCTGTTTTCTCACCCTCGCTACATGAACGGCGCTGGCTCCAACCCCGACGCCCACGTGTTCGCGTACGCCTGCGCCCAGGTCAAGCGCAGCATGGACGCCGCCAAGCGCTTGAACGCCGAGAACTTCGTGTTCTTCAACCCCCGCGACGGCTACCAGAGCGTCCTGCAACGCCAGTTCTTCCGCGACATGTCCCACATGGCGCAGCTGTACCGCATGGCGGCGCAGTACAGGGACAAGATCGGCTTCAGGGGCCAGCTGCTGATCCAGCCTAAGCCAGCCGACCCTCGCCGTCACCAGTACGAGTCCGACGCCATGTCCACCATGCACATGCTGCGCCACTTCGGCCTCGACAAGCACTACAAGCTGTACATCAAGCCCGCCTTCTCTCGCCTCATGAGCCGCCCCTACGAGCACGACGTCTACATGGCCGCCGCATACAACATGCTCGGCTGCGTCGATGCCTCCGACAGCTGGCCAGAGGTGCGAGGAACGTCAGATCTGTGCGCCCGCAACGTCCGTGACGCCACGTACGTCATGAAGTGCGTCTTGGAACAGGTACGTGAGGCTCCTTGCAACAGCTCCAAGGTTGTGATGCCAAAAGGCGGATAGGGTATCCTGCGAAAATTTATTATTCATTACAAAACTATACTGAGAGTAATATTTGCAAAATGCATGCACGTTAGACAATCTGAACTGGGGCACAACTGGCTCACTTGAACTTCCTTCCCTTCAAGCAGAGTGGTCTACAGGGCGGTGGCTTCATCCTGGGCGGGCGCGCGCGTCGCGAGTCCACCGAGCCCCGAGACCTGTTCCACGGCCACATCATGGCCATGGACACCTTCGCCCGCGCCCTCAGGAACGCCGCCCGCATGATCTCCGACGGATCCTTCAGCCGCAGCATCCAGCAGGTGAGTCCCGTGCTCTTCAGTATCTCGATCGCACATGCAGTCCCTATAATACTGATACCTTCCCCAGCCCCGCGTCCCCGCAGCCCTCTCACAGATACCTTTCCCTCCTTCTCCTGCAGCGCTACTCCTCCTACAAGTCCGGCCTCGGCGAGCGCATCGAGAAGGGCGCCGCGTCCTTCGAGGAGTGCGAGGACTACGTCCGCAAGTGCGGCGAGCCCCAGCCACAGTCCAGCCGCCACGAGCATTTCGAGAACATGTTCAATTACTATATTTTCCCAGCACGCCAATAGACCTTTGCGTCTGCTGTCTTGCACAGATGGGAAAAACTAGTCAAAGCGGCCAATGCATTCTTATGCGTCACGGAATAACGTGACGAATAAGACAACACATATTAAATTCCCACGCGATGAAAAGGAAGACGAACAATATTAATGGTGCCAAGCTTGTCACCTTCCGAGAAATCATCAATCGAGACTGACCCTCAGTACCTCACCCTCTCCCGCTGTGGTCATGTCTACTGCAGGATAACTACAACTACTAACCATGTATCAAATTTTTCACCCTGTAAAGAAACAAGGCTAAAAAAAAACGGAAAACACAATAACATATACATCCGAATTTACACTCCTGAATTTTCACATACATCTTGGAGATTTTTCGTTATTCGACCATCACAAAACAATAAGAAAACAAAAGAAGGAAAACGAAAACAATAAGAAATCTCTTGCTTTATGTCCTATTCGAACTTCGCGGTTCCTCAGCATGTCAGCCGCCCGGGATCAGGAGATGAGGGCGTATCGTCAGCCCTTGGAAACGGACGTCTGACATCGCTGACGTCGCCAGCAGAAGCCGACGAAGTCCCCAACGAGATGACGGATGTACTGTGAAACATGTTATCATATATATATCATTGGCTCAGTGATTAACATACGCGATCAAGATTATCTCTAATTGGGTTATGGTATGAAGATTTCTTTAGGCCTTCATTTTATCTGTAAATGCTTACGATGCAAATAAAAATAAAAACATCCACTGTCTTTTATATACATACATAACATAGAGAAAAAACTGATAGGTATCTTAAAAAAATCTGCGATAATGCATAAAAAATATATTTCATCCATCATGTATCATTCAACTACATATATACTTCTTTTTAAACATTTAAATCAAGAAAGTAAAATCAGTCACGAGTCAATACATATCTTAAAGCAAACTGACTCACTGACTAGCTATGGAATGAAATAGTTTTCATTCGAAAGACTATTTTGACCTGTGGTTATATAACAATATTCTTCAGTGTAACATCCACCTACACACAATTCTTAGTCTTTCTTTATTCGAATTCTGATGAAGAACACTTAAAATTCACAGTCGTCCCTTCACTATCATCCACCTTGTCAGTCCTTTGCTACCTGAGTACTTCGCAATTTGCTACGTGTCCTTTCTCCGCTCTTTCCCCTATCATGTCTTGTCTTACGCGTTCTCTTCGTCATACCCTTTGCTATGACTTGTCTCTGTCATCCTTTGCCTTATCTTTTATGTCTTTTACTATGTCTTCCGCCGTGTCCTTCGCTACTTCCTTCACCATGCCTTCGCCTTGTCCTTTGTCATCTCCTTCCTTCACCATGTCCACCTCATCTTTATCACCATGGTTTCCGCTGCGTTGCAAGTAGAACAATGAAGGGAAGTACAGGAAAACACACGAATATGCCGAAGGCCTTTTCGCATTTACTGCTTCATCAGGGAAGAAAAGTTCCGCTGTGTTACTCGCCCCTTCCTTCCATGCCCTTCGCCACGCCCTCCTCCTCCTCTTCCTCTTCCCCCTCTTCCTCTTCCTCTTCCTCCCCCTCCTGTTCCTCTTCCACCTCCACCTCCACCTCCACCTCCACCTCCTCCTCCACCTAAACCTCCACCTCCACCTCCTCCTCCTCCAGAGTCAGCGCAAGGCAGCGGAGCGAAGTAGGTCCTCCAGCGTGTCCACACTCGAAATGTTCCTCACCAGCAGTGGCCGCGGCAAAGAGGGAACTGGGGGAGAGACTCGATATTAAGCACCACCACCAGCACCTTCTGCATTCATCTTGAGCTTGTAGTAACACCCAAGGATTATAGTATTTATAATAGGTCTTTAGTAGTAGTGATGGCGACAATAGCAGTAGCAACAATAGCAGTAGCAGTAATAGTTGTACTAACAGCAATCATAGTAGTAATTTTAGAAAGAACACCCTTAATCGCACCCTAATAATAACAGCTGGTATTAGCTGATGTAAGAGTATTGGTAGGAAAAGCAATAAAAGCAGTTTTAGTAGCAGCAGTAAAAGTGGTGATAATAGCAGTAACAGCAGAATTAGGTGTGGCAGCAGATGTGAATGAGTAAGGTCGAAATACAGAGAGTGCATGAAGAAGCAAGGGGGGGGGGGTAATGCTATAAATTGGATCTATGAAGCACAATAGTTATCCAAATTATTTAATATATGTGCTGCCACTGGAGATCGTATATCGAGGGTTTACCAATATCAACAGCAATTTAGGGAATGTCTGTACAACACCGCAAAGGATACATTTATCACTACAACGCTGATAATAGTAGTAAGATGAATAACAAAAAGTAGAAATATGAATAACAAAATCAATAACAAAAATAACATTGAAAAAATGGTGGAAAAATAGTGAGGTCTTTCGGCAATAGATGTCAAAAAATGCACAAGAGGTTTGGGGGAAGAAAATGACAGATGACACGTGACACACAAAACATCCGGTAAAATCAGTTCCCAATTCTATAATCAGTCCTGAGGGGGAACTAAACTAAAAACTGATCACACCTATAACATCCGTAATGGTAATTTTGATTGATTGATGATAATGATGATGATGATGATTCACTAAATTAAAATATTCATTCAGCCTTCACTCATGGATCAGTTATGTTTCTTAAAGATTGCCAACTACATTTTCAAATAAGTAATAATTAATCAATAATCATAAAGATGTAGAATACAGAATCAGCTAATACCTGTACAGATCAATTTAATATATATATACACACAATAGTATGTATGAATGTATATATATGTATGTATGCATATGTATGTGCGTGTATGCATGTGTGTATGTATGTATATACGTATGCATGTATGTATCTATGCATGTACGTATATATATATATATATATATATATATATATATATATATATATATATATGTGTGTGTGTGTGTGTGTGTGTGTGTGTGTGTGTGTGTGTGTGTGTGTGTGTGTGTGTGTGAGTGTATGTGTGTATCTGTATGTTTGTATGCGTACATATGCATATTTGCATATCTGTATAGATGTGTATAAATGTGTGCGGGTATATGTATTATGTATACATATGTGTGGGTATACGTATGTGTGTAACTATATGCATTATATATGTATGTGTGTAGGTATATGCATTACGTATCTTGTACTTATGCGCATGCATAATATAACACACAACACCTTGTCTGTCTACTGTCCGCACATCCATCGGCAAACCAGACACTATAAATCATGCAAAAGCTGCCCACCTGTCATGCAGAGTACATGCACCAACCTTCCAGACGCACTCCTGAGGAAGGGCGTTGCTGGAGGTCAGGCGAGGCCCAGAAATCACTCTCGCCGCCGTGGTGTAAGTGCAGGAGCCTTTGCAACACGGGTCGGGTGAGATTCATGCTCTCCATTTCCGCTTGCAACAGCAACCCCAGTGCCTCGGTCTTGCAAAGGGAAAAGAGAGACGTGTCAAACTAATGTCTATTTAATATAATTTCAGTTTCACGCAGCAATATGGTACAAGGTAAAGCTTGTCTTGAATGAACAGACGACAAAAAATGAAACGTTTTATCTATGGCATTTCCTCCGCAACTTGATAATAAGAAACTTGTGCAATGTACAACTTTGGTTCATATTTACATAATGATAAGAAAACTCTAATAACCCTATCATAAAAAGGCAATTACTACACACGCTTATACACGAAGTAATATTCGCAGACATACAGTAACACTAGACATGTGACAAAGTCAGGAAATTCAGTGATAGGGTTTGGAAGATTTTTTAGCACAAACTTCATAATAAATTAGCAACGCTTTCATCACTTACATCATTTTGCAATGAAAAACAAGGACAGATCACACATATTACACCGTGAATAATTGAAACAAGAATTAAGGATTACCAGGTTGGATGACTGTGACACTAATGAAATAACGTATATATATTTTTTTTTTTTTTACTATTTTGTAGATGTGTCCGTTGTATCATTATGATGTTTATTCAATAAGTTCAATGGAAAAATTATATGTTCTTTTTCCGTGTCAGAGGACGCTCGGAGACTCACTGTATGACTTAGCTTCGTTACTGAAGAGCTCTCTTCTCGCATTTCTTCCTCTTCTCCGTCTCCTCTGTTTCCTCTTTCTCGGCGGCTTGCTTGTGTCTCCCTCGTCCCTCCTTCGCAACTCTGAGTCTCGATCGGCAGACGACATTCACACGGCTCGAGGCGCTGTTGTGAAGCGGAACTGTTTTGCCTTCGCTGCTTCGGGCTCAGTATCGTTTGATATGATGAAACACCCTTTTTTGGTGTATGTGTGTGTGTGTGTGTGTGTTTGTGTGTGTGTGTGTGTGTGTGTGTGTGTGTGTGTGTGTGTGTGTGTGTGTGTGTGTGTGTGTGTGTGGTATGTGTGTGTGTGTGTGTGTGTGTGTGTGTGTGTGTGTGTGTGTGTGTGCGTGTGTGCGTGTGTGTGTGTGTGTGTGTGTGTGTGGTGTGTGTGGTATGTGTGTGTGTGTGTGTGTGTGTGTGTGTGTGTGTGTGTGTGTGTGTGTGTGTGTGTGTGTGTGTGTGTGTGTGTGTTGGTGTGTGTGTGCGTGTGTGTGTGTGTATGTGTGTGTGTGTGTGTGTGTGTGTGTGTGTGTGTGTGTGTGTGTGTGTGTGCTGTGTGTGTGTGTGCGTGTGTGTGTGTGTGTGTGTGTGTGTGTGTGTGTGTGTGTGTGTGTGTGTGTGTGTGTGCGTGCGTGCGTGCCTGCGTGCGCGCATATGTGTATGCACATATCAATACATGTATGCAGAACCACCCTAAATCCCCGTAAGCATCCAAATACTCATATCTTAAAAAAGAAAAAAAACATACGCACAGCCAGGAGCAAGAGCATTTGCTTGAGTCTCCATCGTGTCGAGGGCGAGATCGAGTGAACCGAGACCAGGGCGGAGGGCAGCGCAGCGTACGGGAGAACAGAGTCTCTGAAGGCCTGCAGCACATCACGCCTCACGTCTAGACTCTGTTACCAAAGGGAAACTGTAACTGGATATTGTATCAGGGGTAGGGATTTCTACAATGTGTGTGTGGTGTGATTCCTTTCTAATAGGTATGGAAGAAGCGATGCTAATATGAAGTATCGGGTATTGAGTTCACAAATGTGTGGATGAGAATGATATACTATATTTATACTATATTTATAGATTACAGTGAAGAAAATTATATACTTCTGTGCATGTATAAATGTATAATGAAAGAATTTAGAGCTCAAGAGATGCAGTCGGCGTGTTTCGTATTTCCAATAAAGGCACGATCGAATGCATCTCTTGCGCTGTGACGTTGCGAGTGATACTGTTTTCAAGGACGCACAGTGAAAGGAGCGAGGAGAGCCTGCAGCATGGGCAGCGTCGTGGCATAGAGGCAGGACCACGCCGTCAGCAGCGCCGCCACGCGGTCCCCGTCCCTCGGGCTGGCCACTCGCACCGCCACCAGCCGCGTCCCCGTCGGTACCACCTGATGGCGCCACGTCCCCGTCAGGCTAGCTCCTCCGCCGCTCATCACCAGGACCGTAAGCTGTGTCGACATAGCGGTCTTTACATTAGGAGATTTGAAAGCAGGGCTCACTTGCAAGAAGAACGGCTTACACCTTGTTTTGCCTTGTGGTGGCTGCTGGGGTGTACATATCAGAGAATTTCTTCTTATTAGAGACGGAAAGAAAGAAACGTTATTTGTAGTGAAATGCTGAGTGGAACCCATAGAGTTTATAACCGCCCTATGAGCGTACTATATTACTGTCGAAATAAAGGATACTGTCGTTTTCAATATACAGCCTTCATCTACTCTAAAGTGGGTCATGTTCTGTATTGGAACTCAATGCCGAGGTCATTCCTAAATTTCCCATTGTTTCACTGTAATAAAAACTTAATTAAATAAACATATTTAAGATACTTTTTTTTACTTTCAGCATTCCCTGTTCAGATTCGTATTCTCTGTTTTTTCCTGTTTCTTTCCATATTTATTTTACTGATGGCCCACATACGATAATAATTGGGCTGCATATCTTTCGTAATGGAGACTATAGACAGAGTGCTCTACGTAACAGAGCACTCTAAAGGCTTAAATCAAATAAATTATTAAAGGAATTAATGAAAACTGCGTTAGTAAACTCGTCCCATTCGCTAATAAACTTCCGCGACCCATAAATAACATCCGAATCAAGAAAATTGTTTACAATGCATTATATACCATCAAATAAAGAGAAATGCTAAAATAAACAAAAACCAATCTAACAAATAAAAACGCAGTTTATCCTCGAATGAATCTAAAATCTGCATCGATATTTCCCATTCCGCAAATCCCGTTCGGCAACTCACCTTCTCATGGAATGCGCTGAGACCCTCCGCCGGGAAGGTGTTGGACCGGTACACGTGGAGCAGCGCCTCGCCCAGCTCGTGGAG